TTTTCAAACGGTCGGATACTGAGAGACAACACCTCCTCAAGCACCCCAGGATAAACCATGATACTTAAACCCTTCTCCAAGCGGGGTTGCATTGTTAGCCTGCGGATTTCATTAAGGCTGCAGGGCCTCGGATTGCTTGCTGAGGAGAAGGCGCCGAAGTAAGGATTTCACCTTGTCGTTGTCTGCGCTCTCAAGCTCGTCCAAAAGGTCCTCCATCTCAGACCTCTCTGGCATGGCGGCGCTGCCGACTCGTCTGCTTCCACTGGACTGACTTGCTCTGTAGCCAACGACAAAGTTGGGCACGGACCTTGCACGGAATGACATCAGACATAGCCCCATCATTATCATATTGACACAGCGCCCCAAAGATTGCCGGGCCATGGCGGCGACACTTCAACCTTGGGGGAATAATCTGGCATAAAATGCTGAGGATGAGGAGCAACTGCTCGTACTGGCTGTGGTGGTATTTGGGGCTGAAACCAGAATCAGCTGCAAGGCATTTGCTTGCGGATATATATGTATAAATGGGTCTCAAGGGGTCTCGGAATGAAAAGGCTTGTGAACCGTCGCACGTTGGACACAAGCATGTCGCTGAGTGCGAAATACCACTGTAGATCAGAATGTGTTCCCTCACGATGGTTCAAACCCTGTTCATAAATCATGCTTCTATTCTGCCAGAAACATCCCTGCTCCTAAGTTCCTGCAGGAGCATCGTATTCTTGGAGCAGTATGGGTGTGGCGTTCTAAACCTGCACGGGTCATCTGTTGAAGGCAGCCAAAGGTGCTGTGTAGTGGAGACGTCCTTTATGACGTGTGCAGACTTCTAGACGTCAACCGACTCGACAAGGCATTCTGAATCGCGGCCAAGATTCCAGATCTACATGTTTAGCAACTCGTGGCGCAAATAACCTCTTTTATCATCGTTCTCTAAATAGTAATAACTTTGACCTAATTTCTTATCTATTCGTTTCACTTTCTGTGGGGTTCTCATCCAATGTGAAGTCCGTTCTTTTTCACTAATGCCTTTTTTGCACATTATTTTAACACTATCGCCCACCTCTACCTCGGGGTATGTTCTATTGCGTTTTGCCTGTAAAGATATATTCAACTTAACTTCAAATTCATTTTTCTTCTTCCTTGCTTCTAATGGGATCATTTTAGTAGCAGATGAAACCATTTTATTATTATATG